CTTTGTTGCTTTAGTACTGAGAAAGTTTGTACTTTGATTAAGAACATGATATTGAAGAGACATGGCTTAAGCCTTAAGTGAAGAAGAGATAAAAATGAGAAGAAACTAGAGAGAGAAAATATGAGTCTTAGTGAGAGGAACAGAGTTTTTAATGGGAATTTATAGGGACATAACCTAACCGACTTCACATCACAGATTGTGTTTGATTTTACTCTAAGAGAGAGGAGAGAGATTGGATGCATGGAATGAGTTTCTGTGGGATCATCTTCTATAGCTATGGAATTGAAGGGTAAATTTGTCTTTTTCTTCTAGTTCTTATTCTCTTGTATGTATCCTTACAAATTTTTATTTTCTATTATGGTACAAGATCGATATCTTCGAAACTTACATACGAGGGCTTCTCAATCATATCATATCACAAAAAAAAACTACTATTTAACAAATACAGTATATTTTTTACTATTAAATTAAACAAATTATTATTTTCTGTTTGTCAGAGAAAGGTAAAATATACTGCTCAAATGACACGTAATTTTATGAGTAATATTTTTTGAAAACAGGTAAATACGTGTATGAAAAATAAAATGTATTAAGATTATGATTATCTACTGCTTTGTTGTCGTGTGACAAGTCATATAATCTATTAGAATGGTATTTATCTTGTGACAATATCTATTTGGATTTCCTGTTTCTATAATTTCAAGATTAGATTACTTATTTTCCAATATGATATGGCAATTTCCTCCTTTTAAATCTTATGATTCTTGTTTCTGACTGTGTTTTTCAATTTTTTGTGGATTCCATACTGTATTTTTAATTGGTTTATGGACAATTGATAAAGGTAAAACAATAACAGCTAGAGGATGAAACTACACGTGTTACTGAATTCTTTCACTATTTGATTGAATCATAATTATTCAAATAGAGTTGAGAGTATTTGTCCTTTCTTTTCTCGTTTGTTACGTGATACGTCTAATTTTCATTTTTGGACACAACTAATTTTCATCAAATATGAAAAACAGCTATAACTGTGCAAAACTTGTCATATTAATCATGAAATCGTTTTAC